GGACTCAAACTCATCATGAACTTGATATGTTAGCATGAATCCACACACACACGTCAGGTATGCACTTAACAGTTGAAGGTTGATGTCAACTAGCGCTGATAAATTTTCATAAAATCAATTACTTAGTCCAATCCTGAGCCAAGGCAAGGTGTTAAGCCATGTTTGTTTAGCATTGAGTCACTGCATTGTTTGAGGACAAACAATAGTTTAAATTTGGGGGATTTGATAAGTATGTTTTTACACACTTATTTGGTTCACAAACATGACTTAAACATGGATAAAATTGTTGAAATGTGGCTTAATCCTATTAAATTCATGCAATGTAGGTATTTCAATGGAAATTGTGGAATTCAAGAGAAAGAGCCGAAAAAGGACCAAAACGCAACAAAGTGATAGTTTGAGGACCAAAGGTGAAAATATTGAGAAGTTGAGCTAAATGCAAAAAGAGAGTAAAAACGTGTCAAGTATGAGCTCAATGACAAAGCAAAACAATTGGAAGAAGAAAGTATTGAAGAGGGACTGAAATGAAGACAATTGAAAGTTGGAGGACTAAAGCGCAAATACTCAAAAGATGTGCCGAATGAGTGGCATGAGATTTGATGGTGTCAACCATCAATTGGAAGATAAAATTTGATGAAAAGATGAAGAAATCGAAGAAAAAAGTCAAGAGAAGCAACAAGGAAGTTCAGGGACCAAAATGTAAAAACCACATAATTAGTTATATCTATGCGACCGCATAGTATAACCATCTATGCGGTCGCATAGATGGATGCAGGGAAAATAATGGGGCATTTCAAATGATCTATGCGACCGCATAGGATCCTTCTATGCGGTCGCATAGAAGAAATTTCGAGGGTTTTTTGCAGTTTCCTTTTTCGACGCCAACTCTTTTTTTACCTAATTTGGACACGCTATATATACCCTAAAACACGTCCAGAACTAGGGTAGACGATTTTGGGAGAAAAGAGGCACACAATAACATCAAGATCCAAGAATTTATGCAAGAAGAAGGAGGATTTCATCAAGATTGAAGATTTCAAGCATCAATTATAATAGGGTGATGTCTTCTCCTTTATTGAATCTTTGTAATTTTCTTCAAAATATGATAGGCTAAATTTTTATTTCATTGGGAGTCGATGAACCTTTGATTTTCTTATAAATTCTTATAGTTCATGAGTTTAATATAAATTGTCTTTAGAATAAATTGTTTGATTTATATTGTTTTTTATTGAATCCATGATTTATTGGCCATTTATTATGTGATTGTGATGGTTTATTCTTTACATTCAAAAGAAGTAGAATAGACTCGATATATATAAATTGACATAGGGTCCGATAGGGAATAGAAATATACCCCTATGCTTTATGCAATTCGGTAATTGTTCATAGAATTTCATGCGTTTTTTATGTTACATCATCCATAGAAATATAGGCTGATGATATGCAGAAATAGATCTAATATATATCGAGAGAGTATATTAGATAGGCGTAGGAACATTGAATTGACAATTTTCCATTGATTAATTGGATTTGTGAAATTAAGGTTTATAGCAATCAAATGGGGATTCGATATCTCAATGATTTTATTTCAACTTATTTCTACAATTTCATTTACAACATTGCATATTTACATTTTAATTGAGTTGTTGAGTCATTTAATTAGTGGAATTTCGAAATTAGGGTTTCCAATTTCGAAATTAGGATTTTCTTCAAAATTAGGGTTTTTAATTGGGGGTTTTTTCCAAAATTAGGGCTTTTCACATTTAAACCAAATTTTCATTCAATTAGATTCGGTTAAGGTCACATTAGTCTAATTAGAGCTAATTCAATCCTCGTGGGAACGATACTTGGACTCATAGTCCATGTTACTACTTGTTAACGAACCGTACACTTGCGGTGGGTTTTAAAATTGAAACAAATAAATACGCGAACAGCTACGTCTAGGTTCAACCTCAACCTCCTCTTCTAGTTCTTGGTCCTGACTATGTTCAGTCATAGTCTCATACGTCCGTTTAGAAGAATTTGCCTCTTCTTCGGACCTGCATGGAAACACATGTTCAAAGAATGAAGCGTTTCTCGACTCCATTATCGTCTTTCTGTGTATATCTTGGATTTTAGATTCATACACGAGAAACCGACAAGTACTACTGTTATGTGCATATCCAATGAATATGCAATCTACAGTTTTCAGGCATATCTTCACCTTCTTTGGTGTTGGGACAGCCACTTTAGCATGACACTCCCACACTCGTAAGTATTTATAGGAAGGGGTACTTTCTTTCCATAACTCATAAGGAGTCTTCTTCATTTTCTTTCGGGGCACCATATTCAAAAGGTAATTTACTGATAATACAGCATCCCCCCACATGTTCTGATGTAATCCAGAACTTACTAGCATCGCATTCATCATCTCCTTTAAAGTGCGATTTTTCCTTTCAGCAACACCATTTTGTTGCGATGAATACAATGCGGTGGTTTCATGTATGATTCCGTGTTGCGCACTGAATTCAGCAAACGGTGCTTCATACTCACCACCTCGATCGCTTCTTAGCACCTTAATTTTCTTGTTAAGTTGATTTTCAACTTCATTCTTATACAGAACAAATTTCTCTATCATTTCATCCTTGCTTTTTAGCAAATACACATAGCAGTATTTCGTGCTATCGTCGACAAAAGTAATGAAATACTTGTTGCCACCTCTTGTTTGTACAATTTTTAAATCACATATATCACTGTGAATTAAATCAAATGATTCCATATTTCGTTCAATTGACTTAAATGACGACCTAGTCAATTTTGCTTCAACACAAGTCTCACACTTATGTTTGGAATCAACATGGAATGCTGGTATGCATTTCAAGTTAACTAGCCTACGTAAAGTATCATAGTTAACGTGTCCTAATCTACCATGCCATACATTGGAAGACTCAAGCAAGTAAACAGAAGCATTCACTTTATTATTCATTTTTGGTTTAACAACCATTACATTGAATTTAAACATTTCATCGGAAACATAATATTTTTCGACAAACATTCCACTTTTCGACAAGATGACCTTGTCTGACTCAAACACAATGCGAAAACCATGCTTATTCAAAAGTGACCTAGACACAAGGTTCTTGCTGATTTTCGGCACATACAGCACATTGTTGAGAGTCAGCTCTTTTCCCAAAGTCATCTTTAGAACCACTTTTCCTTGGCCCTTGATTTCAGAAGTTGCTGAGTTTCCCATGAACAACTTCTCTCCATTCTCAACTACTTCAAAAGTAGTATATAACTCTTTATCAGAGCACACATGTCTCGTAGCTCCGGTGTCAATCCACCATTCTTTTGGGTTAGAACCCACCATGTTCACTTCAGAAATGACTGCTGTGAGACTTATTTCCGACACATCATGTGCCATGTAGTCAACCACATTTACTTCTTTCTTCTTCTTTGGCAATCTGTACTCTGAAAATTTGTGACCTACTTTGTCACAGTTGAAGCACTTCCCTTGAAATTTCTTCTTAGGAATGCCCCCTTTTGGTCCCAGCTTGATCCCTTTTCCACCGGATGGCCCAACTTTGATTTTGTAGTTCTTACTACCTTGACCATGTTCAACAATATTGGCCTTAGCCGCACCAGGATTGAACCACTTCTTTTCGAAACTCTTGTTGTCTTCTTCAATTCGAAGTCTAACAATTAGTTCTTCAACGTTCATTTCCTTTCGCTTGTATTTCAGATAATTCTTGAAATCTTTCCACGCGGGAGGCAATTTTTCAATGATTGCAGCCACTTGGAAAGTTTCACTCAGAATCATCCCTTCGGCATGAATTTCGTGAAGAATCACTTGGAGTTATTGCACTTGACTGATTATAGTTTTGGAGTCCACCATCTTATAGTCCAAGAATCGGCCGACGATAAATTTCTTAGCCCCGGCATCCTCAGTCTTATATTTTCGGTCCAAAGACTCCCACAACTCCTTAGCAGTTTTCATGGTGCTATACACATTGTATAGCGAATCTGTCAAACTGTTCATGATGTAATTCCGGCATAAGAAGTCCAAGTGTTTCCAAGCATTAACAGCACTGATAGCTTGAACATCCACCTCACCCTCTAGGAGTTTTGGAGCACTTTCAGTCAAGAATCTCGCAAGATTCAAGGTGGTCAGATAAAACAGCATTTTCTGCTGCCACCTCTTGAAATTCAAGCCGTTGAATTTCTCTGGCTTTTCCCCATGGTTAACTGGTACATTAACCGGAACATTAGCCACATGTTGGCTCACAACACGACTTGGCATTGGAGCCACAGTCTATGTCATAACAGAATTAGGCCCTACAGCCATAGCTGCACCCATAGCCGAACTAGGCCCTACACCCATAGTAGAACTCACAGCCTGAGATTGGGTACCTTCAGTTTGGGACACATCCATGTTGGAATCTATGTTGGTGGAACCGGTTGCCATTTCTTCTTCCGAAAGAACCAAACAACAAATTAGCTTCCACAATATAACAAATATAAGAAACTAATCAGTTCAGAGATAATCAATATAGGAAACCAAAATTTCCTTTCTAAAAATATGTTTTAAGCTTGTAGAAAATTCAGTGTATGTGGATAAAATCGGGAAATGTTCTCTTTCGTCTCGTCAATTTGAATAATGCGCAATTAAAAGACTCCCAGATGAGGAGGGGGTCACAACTGGATCGCTCAAATCCCAAACTCTTCTTAGACAATTTAGGTCTTTTTGACAAAGCCTTTCAATTTTGCAACTATGCAAGTCAACAAAATTCAAACAACCGTATATCGAATTTTCACCGGATCATTGAAAGTTTTATTTCCAACAAATAACTTTTGTTCCAACAGAATTTAAAATTCATGAAGCATACAAACAATATATCATAAATTCATGAAGCATGGACTGTAAATTTAATACGAAAAATTGCATGAATTAAACAACTGAAACATAGAATTTTAACCCGAGGCCTGTGTTACATACAGTTTTCTTAAAACAGATTCGCCCCCTCACCGTCTGTGCTTGAGGTTTAAAACGAGCGTCCATTTTTCAGGATACAACGGTAAAACTAGTAGCTTCCGAGCACCGCAGAAACCACTCCGGCGAACTGAACTAGTGCCTGAACTACACCACCACCAAGAGAGAACTCTACGCAAATGAATTTCTAGTATATTCTAAACTTGAAAGTTTTTGCTTTTTTTTTTTTTTTGTTTGTGTGTTGAAATGAGGAAAATGAGTCACTATTTATAGGCTAGGCTACCATTAATGGCAATGACTTTTGGAGTTCCTCATCTTTTTCCTATGTGAGACAAATTCATTTTTCCCACATAAACTCCCTTTTGAGTGGCACACTTTGAACCTCAATTTCTCATTCACCCGAGTATCAACTTTAGCAAGTAAGTATATGATTTCGATGTACTCACGGAAGAGAATACAAATCAACTTTTATCTTTCAAATAAAACAACTGGGTCCCACTCAAAACTCGTGCCAAAGTCGACCAATTTTTCCAACAATTTTATCAGTGGAAATAAACAGGAGGCCTGCCATCGGTCCAGCTGTGGTCGATAAATAGCATTGAGAGGCCGTTAAGAGCTTTTCGCCGTTGCTAACATTGAAGTTTAGCTGGAAAACTTTTTCCAGTCTGCCTACCTGAAGGATTCTTGCTCCGAGCCTCAACTTCCCTTTCAAAGTTTCAGTGAACTTGGGTCCTAATTTCACTGCAGAGATAATAATAAAGCAAAACATTAGGCGTGAAATAGGAGTATGCCTGAGAATTTGTAACGTTATGGTCTTAAATTTTTTCCGGCTATGTCTAGTCGAGCATAGTGCACATGCTCCAATGGTCTGATAATAACTTCTATATAAATAAACTAGGTTAAGGCTTTACCATGCTCTCGGAATCCTTGAGCGAAATTGTACATCAGTTCTCCAAATTTGTTCATCCCAGGGATTACTGAATTTGCTCTGCCTGCATTTCCAAGAAAATCCAGTAAGGTTGTGATTAACGGAACTGGGAGTTCTTGGTGAGTTTTAAAGACAAGAAAATATACATACTCTTTCTGATTTTGGAGTGCTCATTGGAAGGAGAAGGCGTAACACTGTATTGGCCAGCCGGATCAGGTAAAAGTCTGGTTGAAGTTACTCCTGAATTGACTGGAATTCCAACAGCATATTTTGGGTGCAATTTCTTCGTAAATGTCGATTTTCCAAAGTTGCAGTTTCATATCTACCTCCTTTCTTTGGTTTTAAGCAATGAAATGAATGCTTCAGAATGTTCAAAAACACCTAAGATCAGTCAGAAACAACAAGCTTTTCTGAGATCCAACAATGCTTCTTCACCCTTTATATGGACGAAAAGTAGTAGTTGGATCTTAGCTTTTAGCTGCATGACTCATTTTTGTGTCAATAAAAAAGATGTGGGGTTTTGACAAAACTAAAAACTTAATGACGGAATGATCTGGTAACATGGTATGTCTCCCAGGTGGGGTGGTTAATTCTATGCAGATGTGTAATCCATGTTTTCTGAGGTGCGATGTTTGCTTTGTGAGGCTGCCATGCCACCCCTCAAATCTTTAGCACTCAGTTGGTCTAAAGGCTTATCTGGATAACCCTTTTTTGGACTTTCTTTTTCAAATCCTTTCTTTAATTGATGATTGCTACATGTGTAAAGGAACTTTTTTACATAGATAGTGGGAGAGAGGATCTCCCCATCAGTGCCACAGCATTCCATGCCATGGAATTGTCAATCTGAATATCTAATCTAATTTTTGAGAATCTATTGGGGTGGTTTTATATAACTTAATGGACTGCATTTGATATCTCAGATCCCACCAGGCACCAACCATAAACATTTTATCATTTCTTGATGTTATAAAGATACTAATAATATTATCTGCATTTTGCATCTTTGATACCCATTCCATGTGGGTTTAATTGACCTTGTTTGGAAATGGAGGCGGACTTGATTTAGCGGCTCGATATTTGAACCTCAAGGATCAAACAAGTGAAGATAGACTGGGGAATTGCTGGACAATTACTAGGCCGAGGTGATCCAGATCCAGAGCACAAATTGAAGATCAATTAAGGTATTGGGCGTATTCCACTTAGAAAATTTAATTAATGGTGAGCGTTCACGAAAATATATTTCGAATTAAAATATCCCAAGTGTACGATTCATTAACAAGTAATAAGTAAATTTTGAGTTCGAATATCGTCCCATGATGATTGATTTAGTTCAACTTTAATTACCGTAACCTTAGTTGAAACAATAAAACACGATGTGTTGTTGTGATGAAAGTACAAATAAAATAGATTACGTACGCAACTATGAATGAGTTAAAGAAACTAAATACAAATTATGATCTATGCAAATTGATGTGTTCTAATGAATTATAAACGTATTAGGATTGCGAATCCCCAAGCAATAATCTCCTTTAAACTTAGTTTTACACTTTAACAACACGGTTCAATTTTGACGAATCAATATTCCTATTTTATTCAACAATCTCTCTCAAGTAATATTAAACCTATTCTTATATTATTTCTATAACGGATGCGAATACACAAGAATGCATGCATTTTTATAAACACTTAAAGAGGCATAGCGGTATATTTCTATTTCATATCGAACCCTGCGATGATTTATATCATGTCGAGCCTATTCTCCTTTCTTTTGAATGCGTGAAACAAGCCACCAAATTCACACAATCACGTGCACAATAATTGTGAAGAAAATAAATTCATATAAATCATTCAAATTCCATAAAATGTGTTTTAATATCAAGAATGTTAAACTAAAGATTAAAAAGTCATATCACATAGTTCATTATTATCCTAGGATATACAAATCTAGCCTAGCATGGTGGAAGTAAGAAAACAAAAAGAATATTGAAAAAACGACATCATCCAATTAATTATTGAATGGAATTCTCGCGACTTTGGATCGTTCTTTGCTTTTCTTGCCTCATTTTATACTCTCAAAACCCTTAGGAATGTATTGGAATGCGTGGTGAATGCTTAGAGACGGCCTTAGGCTTTTAAAATATGTCCTAAGATTTGTTTCCATAAAAATTTCAGTCGGATAAGGAAACCATAATTTTTTCACCGTGATTCCTAGTCAAAACCCGGGTATCGCACGACTAAATTTTTTGCCTCGATAATTGTACCTTGATGTTGGGCGGTCATCCACTCTAAATAACTGGGTAGTCGCCCAGTTATAAAAACTTTCAAATATTATATTTTAGTCCCGAAATTCAATTCTTGATTCTTTTAAATCCGTTCTCTTGCAATTTCAACCGTTAAACTTTCAATTGCATCCAATTGAACTCATAATATCTTTAATCTTCATTTTGTGATCTGAATCAACCATTGAAATGTTGCAATTTAGTCATCATACTTTGGATTTCCCTATTTTTCTTTGCCACTTGCATTAGAAACAGGTCTAAAACTGAAATAAACGAAAATTTACCCAAGTTAAGTAAAAATCAACATTTTCATGATCTAAAAACTTAGTAATATGATCCAAATAAGTGAACAAAATGCACTTATCATTGCGTTGGATTACAAGTATGAAATTTACATAGAAAGAAAATAAATTTTAAGCATTTATATAAAAATTATTGATTAAATATGCTTGATTGATTTAGTTTTCAACCAAGAAAATATTATATTTGTCCATTTTTTTATTAATAGATGGATGAGGGAGAGTGGATTACCTAGAAAATAAAAATCATCCCTTCCTAAAGAAAATATTTTCCTTATTTTTGAAAAAAATATGATCACAAGTAGGTATTTAGGTTATAAAATTGACAGTGTTTTTCATAAAAAATAAAGTCAATCAAACACGGTGAAAATTACATAGATCCAGATTTTTAAAGTTGCCATTTCAAAAATCAGATTTCAAGTTTTTTTATACAAAAATTGGATAATAATTAATACTAATAATATTAAGCCCCCGTTTGAGCCCCATTATTTCTCATTACATTAAATTAAAATTTTCTCTCCTACTTTTAATTACACAATTTTCAATAAATTAATATTACACGTAAATCAAAAACTTTTCAACCACTCATTTTTCAAAAAAATATTATTCATCTCATTATAATTTACAAATAATGGGGCTCAAACGGTCCCTAAATTAATCTATATACCCATCCAACTCCATCCACCCCATCAAATTTCATTTTCAAACCATAAATATTTCTTTATTCTTATCTCTCTCTTCTCTCCTGCACAATGTGTCACATAGCGATGTCATCAGCCACTACAGTTGTCACTTCATTGTGGTGGTGGTGGAGGCAGTGACGATGATAGTGGTGATGTTGGCAATGGTAGTGAGGTCCGGTGATATTGGTGGTGGTCATGGCGGTGATGCGATGGTTGTGAGTGAGGTTTGGTAGAGGCGGGTGTTTGTAACCAATAAATTAATTCATTTATTACCAATAAATAATACGTAACCAATTAGTTGAGATTGTGACCATCGAATAATATGTTACCGGAAACTTGTAACCTAAAAATTTAAGTCCTAACTTAAATTTGTGATTGATAAATAGCCCGACTCGTGGCTCAATTCTATCGAGCCGAGGCTCGATTGAGTGAGCGTCCACTCGAGCTCGAGCCACACTGGCCATTTTTCAACGCATGAACATATTTATATTAATAAATAAATAAAACTTTGAAAGCTATGTGTAGCTGCAAATTTTAGTAGGCAGCCACGCGGCTGTATGCAATGGCAATTGCGTGGCTACCATTTTTTTTAAAAAAATCATGAGTCAGCTCGGCTCGATAAGGTCCAAGTCGAAAGTTCGAGTCAAGTTTAAATTTTTTGGCCGAACAAAAGCTCGGATTGATTCGGGCAAAAAAAATTGAAATATTTTTACTCGAGCGGAAATCGAGCTTCGAGTTTTGACTCGTGAGTTGACTCTACTCAACTCGTTGACATCCTTAATTATACTTGTGGAAGATTAAAAAAAAAAAAAAAAAAAAACTTTTAAA